GTGTGTGTTTGTGTATTTTTGCGTTTGTGTGTATTGTGTTTGTTTCCCGGGGAAAACACTCACGAGAAACACCGGCTGTTGTTATGCCTGCTGTGACGTTACGTTACTCCGTTCTCCGCTTGTAATGATGCCGTTACAAGCTTCAAAGTTGTATTTATCATCTGAATTTGCTGAAACAAGTTTAATATTCTGAAAGCCAAGACTTTGTTTATTTGGAATCAGATGAAAACAAACTGTAACAGACCCTGCCGTGTTATCTATGATTAATAAACGGCTTACACTCATAATGTCAGCCGGAGGGAGGGGGAGCAGAGCTACGGAAGAGCAGGGTGCGAGTGAGAGCTGTCCTCTTCCCTTTACAAGCTTTCAAAAATGTATTTATCGTGTGATTTTGGAAATAAAAGTTTCATATTCTGAAAGCCAAGACTTTGTTTGTTTAAAATCAAACAAAACACCAAACAACTATTTTTTTACGCAAATCAGCGTTTATTTTGAAATGAGCTGTTGCGACTTCCGACTGATTTCGATAGAGCGGGTCACATGTACTCAAGTTCTGTACATAAGCACAATTTAGAGGAACTTGTGCTTTACATTAAACCCTCACCCTAATTTCATGCTACTCGATACTTCAACTCCACTACATTTTGGAAGCCAACATTGTACTTTATCTATGTGACAGCTTTAGCTAACCCCCCTACTTTACGTGATATTAACCCTTACCCTAGCCCTACTTTACTCTATATTTAGCCAATAATTAACTTTTTACTCAACTATATTTATTTCACAGCTTTAGTTACTTAACCTATTTAGATTTTTAGCTAACACAAATCCTAAATCATACACTGGTTAAGATACCCAGCAGCTAAAATAAAGTCATTAAAACAGCTCCACCTTTACCAGCTGTGACGAACACAATAATGCACCAATAATTCCAGTAATTTATTAAATATGATTCTGAAATGGGCCATTACAAGTAACAAGTACTAAAAAAGCGTAAATACTTTTATGTTTTAAGATTTTGAATGCCGTTCCTTTGCTTGTAATAGAGTATTTTTGTGTAGCATGGTAACTTTGACTTAAGCAAAAGATCTGAGTACTTCTTAAAACACTGTGCATTTTGGAATATTGTACTCGACTGCATTTACTTATTCTGATGATTAGCTAATAACAATCATAAATCAACTAAAACGTAACGTACAAAATACACAGCAGCAGTACATACAGTCATTAAAATAATCTCCACCTTAAACAGCTGTGATAAAAACTCAATAATGTACCAATAGTCATATTTGTGTAATATAATAAATACTATCCATTATTCTGTAATGGATAACTACTTTTACTTTTGGTAACTTTTAGTATATTTTGATGCTTATATGTACTTTTACTTATACAGCATTGCTACTTTGACTTAAGCAGAAGATCTGAGAACGTCTTACAGCTCTGTGCATTTCTTTGCCTGTGCTCAGTATGTGAGTTTGGCCGCTGCCTCACCTTGCCTGTAGATCCGGAGAGCGTCCAGCAGCTTGGAGCCACGCAGCTGAGCACGGAGCAAGGCTACATCGAGCTGCATTAAGCCGGGATCTCCAGCCTCCCCTTGCGCCTCACATTCGCCTGCTTTGAACAGAGATCCACTCAGAGCCTTCAGGGCATCTGCCTTGGGCAATATGCAGTGAACAAAGTGAATCCTGGACCTGCGCACCATGTCAAGGAGAGCATCCTGGAAAATACAGAGCAGGGTTAGGGACTGTGGAAGGCTGACGCAATGTCTCCCCAAGATGTATCTACATGTAATAGGTTACTCAAAGCAACCAAATGTAAAGCATTCTGGTTCTGATGTGCACTTCTTAAAATACTACTTTAGGGAGTTTGTTTTAATAGCCACATGCAGGTTATATCTAGCATAACAGTTCTGAACGATGCTCTTGTCAAGCACTGTAGTTGCTCTATAACAGTGCCGGAAGAGAGATGATAAAACGTCAATTTTTATCATCTCAATTTGTAAGGCACCCAAACTCGGTGGCGCCGGGACAGGAAGTATAATTATTGATGAAAACATTTTCCGGTTAAGTTTATTACCAGGGAGGTGGTAAGCTTGCCGTTTTTGTGCAGTGAGGCGATTTTAATAACATTTGTTGGAAGCCATGAGTGCTGTTGCACAGTAAAAATGTAGAAGATGCATTCAGCAGTGTACCTTCTAATGCTTCTTCTCTAAAATGATATTGCAAGACCATCAAAGAACGTGTTGAGAGTGGGTTATTGTAGGTGTATGAAATTAGGTGGGGCGGCTGAAAGTATTTGTATCTAAAAAGGGGCGAGGGGGGCATTTATAAAAAGGTTTGGAAACCACTGTTGTAAAGCCTAACTTCAAGCATGTGTGTTATCTTTATGTTTCTCCTCAATTTGTTGAGGAGAACATTATCATGTTCAGTTGTGTCTTAACTCATCCAAACGTTAATGAAAATGTACATGATTTTCTTGTATTATTTAAAAAGAAAAGGGTATACAGTACATTATCTCTGTTGCTACTTCCATCCTGAATATTAAAGGGGCCCTATTATGCTCATTTTCAAGTTTCATAATTGTATTGATAATTGTGATTGGTCAACCGATTAGATATGTCCCGCCCCCTGGGCAGTTTTGGCATTTCTGCGTTGGCTTCATTTTTCATCACCAGAGGTTGCTGCTTTTTTATTATATAAGCAGATAATGAAATAATTTATTGCGCTTATATTTCTTCCTTTCCTCTCTGTTATTTATTTTATGAATTAGACCTTGAGACTTGGCAGATAACTGGTGTAAATGATATGCAATTCAATACATTTGCCCCTCTCTGTTGTTGTCATCTTCTCCTCTCACCACTTGAAGCTTTATCTGGATACATAAGGACTTCTTCTTGATAGCAGCAACCCCTGTGGTGAAGCTCTTCCTCATGCTAGTGGCCCGGCGCAATGAAAGCTGGGAAACGCCTTCAAGGCCAGCGACCGAACCGGACAGAACGGTGGCTCCGGCAGTTCGGCTCATGAACAACGAGCTGATGATCTTCCTGTAAGAGAACACAACTTCAGCCTAAAGTTCTTTTGAAAAATCGACTAAAGTAATACTGTTGGATTACTCATTCGTACTTCTGGGAGTCCTGGAGCAGGCTTGTAGCATTGGTAGATGCAGGATTCAGCTTGGCGTAGTTCAGCCACCCGCAGGTGTCATACTCCACCCAGTCGGTTCCGTGACTGTGGCCGAGCAGGAAATGATGATCCTTTTCACTCTTCAAGAGGAAAGTGTGACCTGATGAAAATGGAAAAAGAAAGTGTCAGATTCCTGGAACAGTCTCCTTCATGACTTTAGTAAAGTGTGAAGGGTTAATCAGAGCTGCAACTTGTCTCGATTCCTCTTGTATGCACTGCCACAAAAATATATAAACTTTACTGATACTGTGATAATAAAAGACAATCTGTCCTCAACCTAGTTTTTCATGTGATAGACTATTCAAGACATATGGATGATAAACTAGAGCTCCAACCTGGCTCATATATTTCTGATGTATTTCTATTGAGTTCCATAGGGACCACTTATATACAATTATGTAACCTTGGGAAGAAACCGTTGTTAGGTTACATACATAGAGAATTTCTATGACTCATCCACAGTAGGATACTGGTCGAATAGTGCTTTGAGAACAATTTATTCTATCAAGATGAATAGCCTATTGGTCTCTTCATGCAATCGATGTTCTTTGACACAAAAGAAGAGTCTTTGCTCACGTCTCAAACATCGTTTGTAATACATGATGAATGTCTCTTTCTGAATAAAACCTGTGGCAAGAATCGGCAAATTATTCTGCTCTTTCAAATGATTGACAGGGATGAAAGTTCATACCAAGTACGATTCTTTACACCCTGTTAATGATTTAGCAACATTCATGTATTGCCAATTTTACTGCAGTCAATTTCTAACCAGTTAGAATAACCTTAATTGCTCATCGTACAAGGTTTTGACCAGAAGCCAAATTAGGTCTCTTGCTCCCCAAAATAAAGGGTAAAAACACTGACTAAAATGGTTTCGCTATTTGGCTACCATTAACGTTAAATCAAGGTGACCCAATGCAAAAAAAAGACTCTTACCTTCATTTGATTAAGTGGATTTGAAAACATCTAGGATAATTTAAGTGCTAAACTCACCAAAATATACATCATAGGTCTGGCAGTTTTTACAGAAGTAAATTGATAATTCTTTACCCTTGAAAATATTTCAAAGTTTTAGTCCTTTCCTTTAAAAACACTCAAGTAGAATGCTTGCCATGTGTTGTATTCGCTTTGATTTTATGTGCGCACATGTGTGTGTGGGTCAATGGCATTCAGGGTGAATAAATCGTAGAAAGACATATAAACCTGAACCCATGAAAAGTGTGTGTTTGTGTGTCTGTGTGCATGTGTGTGCGTGTATTTGTGAGTGTGTGTGTGTGTGTGTGTGTGTGTGTGTGTGTGTGTGTGTGTGTGTGTGTGTGTGTGTGTGTGTGTGTGTGTGCGTGCGTGTGTGCGTTTGTCCTCTCCTTGCCTTTGCTCTCGCCCTCGGCAGGCCCATAGTAGCTAAAGAGACGTCCCAACAGGGTTTCCTCTGACCCCCCATGCTGCAGCGCCTCCTCCTCCATCAGCCACAGCAGGCCCCGCGCCTCATCTGTCCTCACTGTCCGCACCTGTCAAACAAACATGTACGCTCTCATAAACGCACAGAGGTCGTAGCTCCTTTATGAAAATCTAGTGTGGACACAACATGTTATATTTTGCCTTGAATCCTTTGTGTACAACAGAACATGAGTGTAAAATGTTTGCTAATCAAAAGGCTAAAGAGTGTGTAACAAACCACATGGCAACAAGGACATTTAGCTTGCTTTAGCTATTCAATGGGAACACATTCATGAATCAGAGGACATTTCTGCCTTTTCTTTCACAGCAAACAATCTTTATAATTACGAAGGATTCTGAAGATTATCCTTCAAATGCTGAGGGCTGGCCTCTAAAAAAGATTTTTTTCTTTTTTTTTTATAGAGCACTTGTCAAAATCCAAGTGCCTTACAAAGAAAGCAACAATGAAAACAGACATAAATCATGTTTACAAGAAAACAGATATAACTGTTTGGCCTGGAAAAGGACAACATATTGTACTGTAATGCAGAAAAGGGAAAGAAAAACCTTTTAATTAAGAAAGGTCAGTGTTTCCTTAAATATTCTATTATACTAAATGTCAGTGAAAGTAGTGTGCTTTCCCCAGTATGAGCTGAGAGGCCTGAGAGTCATTCTAGCATTAGAAATTAAAGTTTCAAAAGCATTTGCGCTCCCTGCACCCTGCAGCAAGTCACTGTGATAATGGCATCATCAACTTAGCTTTTGCTTATAATTGAAATGGAAACAAGAAAGAGCTCATGAATACGGAAAATGGCAGGAGGAAAAAGGGATTAAAAAGTAATACAATTAGTATTACAATTAGCGTGAACACAGAAGAAAATAAAACCCACTCTTATTAATGATTATGGGATAAGTGCAACGGAAAGGTTTTTTTGTGCCAAGCTTTATTTGGCATGAAGCTTTACTTTTGCATACTTCAAAACAGAGTACTACATTAAAGAGGCCCTATTGTGCTTTTTGGGGTTGTCCCTTTCCTGTAGTGTGTAATATAGGTTTCTGTGCACGTAAATGGTCTGCAAAGGCTAAAATCCCTGTGTTCCCTCCAGACGGAGTTTCTCTAGTGACATCACTGTGTAACACTTGTGTTCTAACACATTGAACGTGACTAAGGGGTGGTACACCTCTAAGCGGTTGAACAATCCCAACAGAGCCGGCCAGCTAACCAATCAGAGCAGACTGGGCTCTGGTTTCAGACAGAGGGTGAAAAGAGTTGCTGCAGCACAGGCAGTGTGAGAAAAGTAAAGAGCTTTTTGAACATTAAAGCATGGAGACATGTCACAGTAGAGGCACTAACAAAAAATATGAAACTTGAACATGAGTATAATAAGGCCCTTTTTTTTTATTTGCCCAAAGACATAAACTAAGCAGCTATTGTTTTTCAGATGACAATGAGCTCCAGTGGGAACAATATCCACACTGATAGCTTGGGAATAAGAATGAAAAAAACAAAAACAGTTTTAAGCAGCTATCATGAAGTTACACTGGAGACACCCTTATCAGCAGTGCACACTACGCTGACTTCAAATACAACACAGAGTATCAGTTTGGAGAAGACATATGACAACTGTGAGGCTCGCAATGAATTGAGCATTAGAGCGATAAAGGACATCTGAGATACAACGGGAGAAAAAACATATATGTGAGTGAAAATAATGGATCTTTTCATTCCAACCAGCAGATTTGTTTAGTTTACTTTAGAAATCACTTTGAAGAATCAGCGTTTTTTTGTACCCCTTTGGTTTAAGAGTGATGTGCTACAGTTCAGTGCTTCTCCCATCAGTGTATGGACCCCCTTAAAAGTAAAGCAGTCAAACTGACAACATTGGAATTATAACACAGTGATCTATGACTCTAGAAACTCTGCCATGTCTGTTTCCATGGTGAAAAGGCTGCAGAGGCCAATCATTGATTTTTCTCACTCCAAGTCAATTCTCTAACCTTTCTTTTTCCTTCTCCTGCCCTCTCTTTTGAGCCTCAGCCTTTTAATATTTTAATAAGAAAGCGTCTGAAGCTAAAAGATAATATTTATTGTTGAATTTAAAAGCAAAAGGGTATCCAGAGTTTTCTATGTGAAAATGGAATGCCTCACAATGCCTGTGTAATGTATAATGTAGTCAATGCCGACAGACTGTGAGATATTATCCCAACTTATTTTCTCTTGCACACATATGAGGAAACATTATCTTATAAAGGGCAAAACAACTTCAACTTCTGTTTACCAGCTTTAGTGTGGTTTGCAGATGTCGGAATGAGATTGAAACAGAAACGGTTGATACTGTCTGTCTTCAAAAAGCGCTCAATTCAGCATATGTTAGTAGGAGGCGTGTGGCGCAGTGGGTTGTGTGTTGGTGTTTGAGTCACGGGGTCACAGGTTCAAACCCCACTGCAGTCAGCATGTCGTTGTGTCCCTGGGGAAAGACACTTCACCCCAAATTGCTCCTGTGGGGATTTTCCACAGTATTGAGTATGTAAGTCGTTTTGGATAAAAGCATCTAACAAGTGACATGTAGTGTAATATGTTAAGCAAATATTTCAAAGCTTGACTACAGTTTACTTTCCTCTAAAATGCATTTAATGTGTACTATTATCTTCCCTTTGTCAAATATGTGCTTGTTATATCTTACCTATTTAAGATCAATGTGGAGACTGATGAAATTGATGTTTTCAGACGATGTACAGTAGTTGTTTGGGTTATATCTTAGGGTATTTGGTCATTGTTAGGTGTTTTTTAGCTTGTAGTGATTCTGTATGAAATATTAAAACTCTACACTTCTAGATGTGATACTAATATATTCTGTATTTACTTTCGGTTTAGTGTCTGGGCCCCTGTTTTAAAGCATCAGAAAGTATATTATGATCATGTCCTATGATTGTCCTTGTATTTTCAAACTGTGTGAACGCAATTCAAATAATGAAACTATTGGGGGTTCTGATAAGCATTCTGAGGAAACACCAGATCCATGCATGAAAATATCCATATATTTTCACGAGAAATAACAGACATGAAAAAATTGAACTTACCAGTGCTTGACTTGAGGCTTGGTCTACCACTGCTATAGACAGGGAGGTGCTGGGCTCGGTGTCATCTAAAGCCAGCTCGATGTTCTCCTGGAGACGCAGATTGAGACACTCTTTAATGACTTGTGATGCTTTATTATGTTACACAAATGTTACATTTATAATAGTTTAAGGAAATGCTTGATGAACTGAAATAAAAACAATATGAGACCATGTGAAAAAAGTTTTTGGAGCATGTACTGTATAAAAAACAAAATATATAATACTTTTTTGGAATCATAAGTATAACGTACTGGATGTCTGCAGGAGTTGGCAACAAATAACTAATTGATATTATTTGATTAATATTGCAATGTGGACCATTATTCGCATTATTATTGAAAGAGATAACAAAATGATCATGGTGTGATTTTTTGGGAGAATCTGAACCAAAGAAGGATTTTTATAAAGTTTGTTGAATACTATTTGTAGGGTGGAGCATCTTCTCAGCAATAATACATTCAGAACGATGCTTTGACATGTTTTGCCTGTTACAAATATTGCACTTAAAAGCAATTTGGATATTGCACTAGTCTGTTTTTCAATGTGATAACAATTGTACTTGTTAGTAATGATACTAAATAACAGAAACAAGACATTTGAATAGTGTGGAATAAAAAGTCATTCAGTTATTGGCATATATTTTAACATGCTGAGAAGAAGGGAGCGCTGGGTTTATGTCATTTCATGGACATAGAGGAATATGTTTAATCAAGAGGGGGCTGATATTCTTGAAATAGTAATGGAGATATGAAGGATGAAACTGTTCCTCTGTGGGTGCAGTTGTAAGGGAAGTGTAAGTGAGGAGCCTGCTGTCCCCTTTCAGGGAGAGGAACTTTTCCAGAAAGCCAGGAAACATTGGAACCACAGTTTGAATGCCAATTTTAGTTTGGTCATACTTGCTGCCGCTAAAAAATGCAATGGTGTTGTGAAAGTAGTTTTAAATGAACTAGGAATAAGGGCTACGTAAATGTCCCCTCTGTGGGACTAATAAAGGTATTCTGATATTCTGATCGAAAATGTTTACATAAGAAGCTTCTAGTCAGGTGTTCAAATTAAGCTTCAATTGTAATATTTTATGAGATCATCTCCCTGAAAATAAAATCACTTTTTTAAGTAGTTATATAACTTATCAGTGAAATATTGGTTTTGGAAAGGCTTGAAGCCAATAAATAGGGATTGAAGCAGAATATTTTGTGAAATAAAAACCTTTAGGGAAATAATTATATCTATCTTTTTCAATTAATGTTCAATGAGGTTTACAAAACTGTAGCTATTGTGTGTATTTTGTCACCCAGGCTCATATAAATGTGAATGTCATATCATAACATCCTCGGTTCATCTTCAGCGATTAATCAATGTAATAATGTTAACTTTCAGCAATGTTTTAGGCAAAATGAAAACAGTTTCCTGCCAGTCAAATAAGATATTTTATCGCCATGAGATATGATGGGCAGTTTGAAACTATTTTCAGACATTTTATAGACAAAAGGATTCAACAAAAAATGTATTATTAAAAAAAGGAATAATAAAAAGGAATTGTTATCTGAAAAAAGCCCCAGTCACTGGACGTTCTCCAGAATAGAAAAAGAAAAAAACAAAGGCATACTAAATGTAAGAAAACTAAAAGCCACAACGAATCTATAATAACAACAACAACATTTGACATTTACCAAGACTGTTTTTCCTATAGGTAAATGGAAACTCACTCTCTAAATATTTCATTACTGTTGCACATAACAACATCTGTGGGATTAAAGTGGAAACAAATAGAGTAAATGCCCTTCGCCCGAGCAGATCAGGCGTAATGCGGCTCGCAGTGACAAAGTACTAGCTGCATTGGGAATGTGGGGAAATGCTGGCGCTGCTATTAGTGTGGCCGTAACAGATGCCAGTGTTCCAGTTGACAGTGTGTGTGAAGTAGCCAAAATGACTTTTGTTCTCTGCTGTGGAGAAGATATACAAAAACTCTCCACACAGTTAAAGCTCTCAATTTAATTTGGACTTAAAAAAGAATGTTCCTTATATGTGTATCACAGTTTAACCTGCCATTATTGATACTGTGCGCTGAGTCAAACGAGTTTGACCCGTTTTTTTAATACCAGTTTCACAGCTTCTTGTATTTTCAAGTTGCACCGACAAGAGAGAATTACACTCCACATATTTATGCATTTATACTTCATTTCGCTCCAATTCCCTTTCTCCCGGGCACATGTAGGAGTGGATGTGGGTGATACATCCCTGGATCCTTGTTCAAAGAATTAAAAGCAGTATTTCTGCTAAGCTTTAGTGTGCTCTGGCTGAGTTATAAAATAACCCTTACAATGTGCACATTCTTATGGTTGTATAAATATCTGTTCTATTTTATTTTTAAAATATTTTTCTACTGCACATTTCAATTCAACTTCATTTTTGTATACATATTATTATACTATTTTATTTGTATGTTTTTACTGCACATTCTTAAAATGTACTCCTCATGTTTATAAAAATTATATTTTTTATTTTAATCTCTTTACTGCACATTTTTTTGGTTTTTATTTTTAAATAAAAATGTTCATTCTATTTTATTTGTATCTTTTACTGCACATGTTTATTTCAACTTGTTATTTTTGTATTATACTTTATTATATCTTTTCATTGCACATTTTTCTACTTATTGGCATTTTATTTGAGTTTATTTGAACTTTATTCCATGGAGGACATTTCACAAAACCCAATTTCCTCCCTTCCTTAAGATTAAAGTTTGGAAAGCAGTAATGAGTGGATATATTTATGCAAGTGATGAAAGAACTTATCTCATATCCATCACTATATATCAACTTGTATTATGCCTGGGCCCAGTCGTAGTGGCTTGCACTGCTAGACAAACTCAAAGGAGGACAGAAGAAGAATAGTTCTTTCTTGGGGGAGCCGCACCGCCGCTCTGCAGCTGGGCGTTTCTCCCGAAGGCAGTCGTGGGTGACTTTACTTTGATCTTTGAGAAGAGGTGAAGACTGGCATCCCTAATGAGGAGGTCTAACACACAATCTACTTTGCCTTGTCACAGCTAGAGACAGGTGGGAGGGATGGTGTATCTGATGTATGAGCACATGCGCTATTGGAGTTGATATATCTGAGAGACAAAGGGAGAGGGGTAGGAAGAAGAAAGGGAAGTTATGTTTTTGTGCACGGTGCACAGGCTTGGGGTGTAACGGAATACAAGCAACGGGATAGCGTAATTATCTTACAAAAACAAGGTATTCCCTTTCAGTTATATTAAAAAATACACATAATCGTACATAAAAAAAAATTGAGATTATAATGTTACAATGCATATTAAAATAAAGAACGATATATTACGAAGCACACATTACAACACTTCCCGAGTCTCAATGCACCAAGTGAAGCGATTCTCTGTTGAAACCATAGCTAATCATAACTTCTTTTGCATTTGAAGGAAAAAAACTGAACTACATTACTGTTCAGTGCAAGCAGTGCCATCCAGCTATTAATAAACTGTCATTATCAAAGGAGTCTACATCTGATTTGACAAAGCTTTTACAAATAAAGGCTTTGTCAAAGATACTATTTTGTAGTAGAATAGGTAGGCGTACTTCCTGAATTAGATTTTCAGTATAAGGTCAATTATGTCTGGTCATGCATTGTGTATTTACATTGTGGCTCTCTTGACTAGTGAATGAATATGCCTAAAGGGGCCCTATTATATTTTTGGGGGTTTCCCTTTCCTGTAGTGTATTACAGGTTTTTGTGCATGTAAATGGTCTGCAAAGACTAAAATACCAAAGTTCCCTCCAGAGGGAGTTTCTCTCCCAGAGGCTCCCCCTCTGCCTGAAACGCATCCATTGCAATTATTTGTTTACTTCCGTAACATAGTGACATCACTATGTTACACTCTCCGATCTGTTGGCTAGCTCTCCAACACATTGAACATGATAGGCTAAGGGGCGGGACAAAGAGGTGCTGTAGCAACTGGCAGTTAAAGGAAATGATGCACTTTTTAAGCATGTGAACATGTCAGAGTAGAGGCAAAAAATACATTTATGAAAACTGAAATTGGCATTTTACAAACATGAGCAGAGGACACACTTTTAATATAAAATATTTGCTTCTCTAAGTATGCATTGTGCTGTTGCCTTAAAGTGGACCTATCATGCTATATTGGAAAAATATATTGTAGGGCCATACCTATACAAAACATGTCTGTGAAGTGTTTTGCATAAAATACCAAATAGTTCACCCATTGTAGCCATGCCTCATAATGCTCAAACCCCTCTTTTGCAGCCCTGTTAGAGAAACGGATTTTGGGTCCTTAGTTTGAAAAAAAAGAAAGAAGAGGAGGCGGATTCAAATGCCTGATCAGAATTCTACCGGAGATAAAGTTAAATTCGGTTGTGATAAAACGGCATCCTGTTCTAAAGCACGTCAAGAATAAAAAAAAAATTTTATGTCCTGCTTTTTAAACACATGTGCTCTTCAGTACAGGTTAGCTCTGAGTGTTAGCGAGGCTTGCTAATGTAAAGAAAGACGAGATTACGTCCAAAACACGTCAGGCATTGTTTCTGATAGCAACCTTCTGTGGGTCCGCCGCCGATTTGACGTCATATCGGCAGCAAATCTGTATCCGCTCGTTGTACCCCCGTTTTTAAAAGATTTGGGTACGGAGGAAAAGAGAGAGGGTTTTATTTTCTGACGCTGCGTGAGTTCCCCGGTGTGGGGACACCCCTTTAAATAATACATTTGAGTAGCGTGTTATTTATATCTCTTTTTCTTGTATTTGTTTGCCTGTATTTCATATTGAAATATTCCAAAGTAAAAGAAAGTAACTAGGGTACAGTACATCAATTTTATACTTTGATGAAATCACATATTTTACAGGTAATTAGTTATTTTAATGGAATACATTTTTAAATAACCCTCCTAACCCTGGAGGTGCCTAACACTTCACATGTCCTCACCTCTTTGTATCTGTCCAACTCCTGAATGAAAGTGCGCTGATAAAAGAGGGAATGCAGGCGTTCTTGAGTATAGTTGTGGCACAGGTCCTCGAAGGTTGCGCCGCATTCACGCTTAGCCAGCCGGGGGTTCTGAAAGCCCGGCGTGTCCACGATGAGCAGAGAGCATAGGGAGTGCTGGCTGGATTTCAAGGCCCTGAAGCACGCAGGGTAAACACACACAGAAACATTGAAATACTTGAGAGTATGTTTTATTGATTGCATTCATTGCATGTAACCCCTAGTTTTAACCTTAACTCTCCCAACGTCATCTCCAACTTTAACCCTCACTAAACATAATCTTAGGTTTGGGTTAGCGCCTAAACCCGAGCCATTGAGCTAGAATACTGTAGCATTTCATGAGATTAGATTAGATTCAACTGTATCATCACTGCAGATAGCTCAAGTAGAGGGACAACAAAATGCAGTTATGTATAGAGTAATATACATGTATCAAGGTATATAAATATGACAGATGTTAAAAGCTAAAGTATATATAGAATTAACAGTATTATTATGTTTAAGCACTGGAGCTGTAGTATTCAAATTGATTACACTATAGATCAGTACAGACACGTTGTATGTATTATGAATAAATACTTATACTTGTAAACTTATCAGAAAGACATTACAAACCAGCGTTTTCTGGACAGACATCGCTTAACAATGACAGTAATGTATTGACAATTTAAAATAATATCTAATATGTCAAGCAGACTTACAATTGTTTTGTTTAAAGGGGACATTTCATCAACATCTTTAGGTTTATGCTTGTATTTTGTTTTTTTTACTACAATATAATCCCATGCTTAGATGTTAAAATAAACGATTATTTTTCCATACTGTCCTATCTGCATATACCTTATGTCTAAAACACTCTGTTTTAACACCTGTCTCTTTAAGACCCTATCCAGAATTACCAGTCTTTCCAGATTGGCTTGCTAGAAAAATGTGGATTCTTTAAGTAATTATTCAAGTTATGGGGGGAGATCCTAGATATCAGACATATGAAATGGAGCCAAATAGGAATTGCTTGTAGAATCCTGTGTTTTTTGTTTGTGACAGCCCACAAAAAAATGATTGCTCGTCTCTTTTCACATTTTATGGGTTGGAAAGAAATCCAGATAAGTAAATGTAATATACAAGACTTGTTCATAATGTATCCTCTTTATAAGATGCACAAAGCACCCAAGTAGGTTTCCATTATAAAAAAGTGCAGTTAAAAATAATGCCATCTACAATTGACACAGCTTCAAACATGTGCTTGATCAGAAATACTTACCTATTTATTAAAGAAATGAGAATAGTGAAGAGCTCAGAATAAAGCCCTGATGCCATGGCCTCTAAACAGTCCATGCCCGAAGCCTTGGATCCTGCAATGAGAGGCAGCCAGACACAGAAAACATTACAACAAATAAACAGTTCACAAACCTCTATTAACAAAAGAAAATAAGAGCCAGTTTAATACAAAGAAGACATTTTCTGAGCAGCAAAAGCTTCCCTGGAACTATGGTAACACCATTTGTTTCTAAAAGTAGATTAAACAGCATTATATTTGTGCTTATTATTTCCGACGGCGGGTATGAGGAACACAAACTGTCTGCCAATAGTCTAAAGCGGGATCATTTGGGATTCAGGTGTTTCTGAATTGGTCAGAGCCGTGCATACTTATGTCTGTGTCCAGCGGCAATGTCCACCTGTTAAGCTCTCCTAATTACTTCAATTTCACACCAAATAGTGTGTTGATGGTGCCACAGGGATATTTTCATGCGCACACACATCGATGACTGTGGCTCACTTCCAAACCGATCCCTACACACTCCCACTTTGTGAAGAGCGAAGTCTGTAGTCACACTCACAGCCGAATGAAGCCCCCTTCTTTAAGGTGTTGGATGTGAATACTTCAACAAGACTCAGGATTTAACTTCTCCCTCTTTGGTAGAAAGGAATTGTCGTAACATTTTGTAACAATGGCTTGGAATCAGCATCTCTTGGTTGAAAAACAATAAATATAAATTATGATAAAACCCCAAAAATGCTTTAGCGGCTTAGCTTTTTTTTTAAAAACACTTCAGGTATAAAATCTAATGTTTCTGAAACGCTTGGTTTTAGTTTTTATTAGCGTTGCATGTAAATATTCAAAACCTTCCCATTAGTTGAAAATGTGAAGCATTTCTAGACTGCACTGAAAAAACTGAAACGTTGACTTTCATTAAATGTAATATGTCAACAAATTTCCCATAACTGTATGAGGTTAGTTGAAAACAATAATATTAAGTTCAAATAGGTACAAGGTTCCTTTTTTATAGTGGTCAAACTGATTTTTATGATCCTAAGTAAAACAAATAAAACTACAACATGTGCAATATGTGTGCACAGTTTACTAGGAGGTAAAATGTTTGCATGGAACTATTTCTACTCAATGTTTCATAAAAAGGGCCCAAACAGCCTTGCACCTGGTCAGGCAGGGCAGTTGGTTAAGTAAGGGCCGATTATGACTTCCTGTTGGACGGTTTAATAACTCCCACATCCAGTCTTCAACACCTCAACAGAAACGCGCAAACACAGTAAACGGGAAGCGGGTTAGCGTGTAGAGGTTTGTCTGGAATTTGGTCTGTATGTTCATGTGTGAGGGAGGTAACCACTTGAAAAGTGAAACGGAGGTCAAGTTTGCCCATCCCTTCTCTGACAGACTTTTAACTGCAACCTCCTGCCCTTCAAAGTGTGTGTTGCAGTCTTGATGGAAGTCAGAGGACCTGCACATGTGAAAAATCAATGTGAGGCAATTATGATTTCAAGGACGAGGAACGAAGAGCAAATCCAAAATTGCTTGTCCCGACACAGTGTGTGTACTTATCTGTCAATAGCCATTGTAAAGCTGCGGTATTCATTACTAAGATAAGCTTTACTTTCTCCAGAGCATGCAATTTCCCTGCAGTGATGAGCAGAGGCGTTTGTCTGTGTGTGTGTGTGTGTGTGTGTGTGTGTGTGTGTGTGTGTGTGTGTGTGTGTGTGTGTGTGTGTGTGTGTGTGTGTGTGTGTGTGTGTGTGTGTGTGTGTGTGTGTGTGTGTGTGTAGTGACAAAGAGAAGGAAGGAAGAAGAGGGGGATGGGGGGGAGTTGGCTGTGAGGAATGAAGAGGAAAAGAGTGTGTTGGTTAAAACCTGGTCTGTGGAGTACCTGAGTCTGCGGTGCCATTTTCGTCGCAGGCCTGGCGGATGGAGCTGGCTCTGGGCAGCGTGCCCTTGGCCTGGTGCTTGAAGATGGAGGAGGAGAGCTCCTCCAGGGTGCAGCCCAGCAGGTAGGCTGCCTTCTGGGCCCACTCGTGACGTGCAAATTGTTTCCTGCCAGCTGAGACACGTGCATCGAAAAAATCTCCATTAGTCCTTCTGCCAACCACCCAAGGCACATTGCTAGCCTGGTAGCTCCGTTTCAGGCCTTTCTCTGACAGGGGAGCATTATTTGTCTGTGGTCAAGCTGACACTGACACAGCTGGTGAGCACATACACTAAAAGGCTAGATGGACTGCATGTATATAGTTCTTTTCCAGTCTTTGCAACCCCTCAAAGCGTTTACATTTACAAATATCTACCAATCAGACGGTCAGTGGGGGCTTGCTCCCACCCCCTCTAGTTAAGTCATTGTCATTATATACTCATTTTATTTTATTTTTATTTTTTTTTTTTTTATATATATATTTGTATATACATATATATATACAGTAGACATACTGTATATATATGTATATACAAAATCAGATTTTCTTTAGCAAACTTAGTCAAAAACAATCACAGAAAAGCATGCTTAAAAATACTGGCTTGAATACATTTAGCTTATGAATTTGAAAATATATATCCACTAGCTTTCACAACTTCTGTTTCATGTTGGAGTCTATGAAGTTGAAGTGATAACTGATAATCAGCCCTTTAGTTATCTTGAGAATAAAAGCTAAACTTATCAGAAGGGAAACACTTCCTCTATGTACATAAAGACTTCTGTTGGGAAACACAAGCTTCTCTTTAATCTGGCGCCTGAGTGATGGAAACATGCCGATAGAAACGCAAACGTTGGTTTTAATCCACCATGAAGTGGTCTCTTCTAAGACTTGAGAGGGAAACTGTGGGATTTCACACAGAGCAGTGGGCTCTGTATCTGTTTCATCAGCGCTGCAGAAGCCCCACATATTTTTCACCATGATAAGCAGGATGGTTAAAAAAGACAAGTACAGACATTTCAATATTTGCTTTGATAGACATTCGCCACCACAATAGCAATACATAAATAAAGGACATTGGGTTTGCCAATATATCTGGATATCACTGTCTCAAGGAGTTTGTAAGTCTTAAAAGATTTGTGTTTTTTAATATTTATGGATAATATTTGCCCTTAAAAGCATCCAGACTCACGGTTTGATACACTTAATAGAAGTGTTGCCAGTATGTTATACAGGGAAATGCAAGTTCAATTCAGGCGGTCCCTATAATTAGTTTTGGTGGATTAGAGACCAGTGCTGCCCTCTTGTGTCACATAATAAAGAATCACGACCAATGAACATTTAATATTGTGTGCGATAATCAACTCATTCCTGGAACCGAAAAAACCCTTTTTAATAGTCCAAAATATGATTAGAGAATTGTTTTTTGTTTGTAAATCCAATGCATCCTTTCGCAGAAAGACAAATGATAAATGCCATGAATGTGTTGGTCATAACTTCTATCCCATCATACTATCATGCATTGCTTCTAAACAGTGTTTTTAATGGGGGAAAGCCGTCTGAAGTCCATAAATCAGGCGGTCATTTGCTAATCAGAGCTGAGTTCTGTATCATGGGACAATAATAATTGCAGAACATTTTAAAACTGTTCCCGGATGGCGTTATATGGCCATGAAAAAGATTGGCAGCCGGCTGGAGGGGATCACTGACAATAATTTGGCAAGCAATTCTGTATAAAAGACTGGTAATTACAGTGCGTCCAAACATTTTAAAAGCCCAACATACAGAGTCACTGCTGCTATACATTTAAACTGTGATATCTAGGTTGTTTGTCATTTTGATTTATTGTACTGTGTAGTGTACTGCTAACACAGAAAGCTTTTAAGTCAAGTTGCAATTACATTACGTGGCTTGTGTGGTCACTTGTTATTTTATGATTCCTATGATGTTTTAATGTTTTGTCAAGCACTTTGTGACTTTGTCTGTGAAAAGCGCTAAATACATTTGACTTACTTACTTATTTAAATTGCTTAAAGATGTGACTATTATACTTGAGAAAAAAGCTATGTTTACCAAAAATATAAATCTTTTTGACAGCATTATCACAGTATTTTCAAAAGGCAGCTATCTTATATTAAAACTAATGCTGTGGGAGGCAGATTTATTACTTTAACGCAACAAAAAAAAGCTTTCTTACATTAGGTTTCATCATACAAAAAGGCTTCAAAGACAGGAGCAAATCCTCATGTTTAAGAGTTAATTCTGTTCCCATCAGTCCAGTGATGCATTCTTTTAACAAGATCAAATGTTTGTCAAGATGTAAGGCCAACATCAGATGGATAGACAATGAATGGCTTCAGCTTCTGTTGCACAAGCAATGCTTTGATGATTTTATTTGATCGTTTAGTAAAGCTTGTTTTGGAGGATGGAGTGGAACAACTGAAATGCATCACTTCACCTGCTGTGTGTAAGCAATAACAGCAGCAAAAACCATGAATAGCCCCCTCCTCGCCTTAGATGTCTTTAATGAGCAGGACATTTTTTATATTTTCATAGCAAATACAACTTTCTTTTCATTTTTGAGGTGGAGATCAGTTCAGGAGAACATAACACCTGCTCACTGTGCAACATCTGCAGCAAGTGCAAATGCATGATTCAGTTGTGTGGATTACAAGTGTCTTGCATCACTCTCAAGGTGTTATCTATAGTACAGGGAGATAATAAGGGCTGGGCTTTTTTTGGATAGTAAGGCTCATTTCTGGCCATTTTTGTTGGTTTAACATGAACAAATACAAGGTTTATTCTCAAGAAACATTATTAATACAACAAGTGATGCAGCTATAGAATGGGAAATGAAGTGAGAAATCTTACCCTTAGTAGCTCCTGCAGACCCGAGGTGGTAGATGGCCCCCAGGACGAGCCAGAAGGCCCTCTGCTCGTCTCCGCTGATCCCCAGAACCTTCATGGCTGCCTGCAGCTTGGAGAACTGCTGCGAGGCCCGCTGCTTATCTTCAGTCTGGTGGAAAGCAACATTTATATTCAGATAACATTCCTTTTAGAACAATAAGTGAGAAAAAACTCCTCCTTAAGATGTCTTGAAGTGATAATAAGAGGTTCACAGACTTGTCATATTGCAATTAAAGGTTCAGGGACAAATCTAGGTTCAACATACAGTAGTTGTTGGATATCAGGGATTAGGTCAGTTGGAAGCAATAATATTACGTAATGTTTAAAATACAGCTCTGGAAAGTATAAAGAGACCACTGCATCATCATGAGTTTCTCTGGTTTTATTATTTATAGGTATGTGGTTGAGTAGAATTAAAATGTTTTTATTTTATTCCATAAACTACTGATAACATTTCTCTGTGTTGGAGTTCAACAGAAACTGGAATGGAAGGGCTGCCATACATGTAAAGATTTGCGAAAAATGTGGAGTGGTCTCTGGTCAACTTAATATTATTGCTTTCAACCAGCCTAATACAGTTGTGTGAAATGTGTAGGGCTGTACCCGAATATCCAAATTATACTTAAGACATATATAACTGCAACGAAAGTAACAAACACAATGCGATATCCTTTTCAATTTCAAAGAACACAAATTGGGTTACATTAACAAATAACTATAAAACAACAATACTGTAGAATAACAAAATGAATGCCGGGCGTGAATACACCGAAATACACGTGTTGAAGCGGTTCGCTGCTGATAACTACGCCCCTAACCCCCGCCCCCCCCGCGTGGGCCGAATATTCGAATATTCGCTGCTGATTACTACCGAATATCCGGAGCCCGAAAAATGATATTCGGGACAGCCCTAGAAATTTGTTGACATAATATACTTAATTAAAG